AAGTGTGTATTACTATGGGTTAATATGGATTACTACTCACAACATAGAATTACTTTAAACAAAAATTATTATTCTAGTACTGCTCTGCCCCTAGGTTTCGTTACTTTGACTCCACTTCAAGATCCAGCTCAAGATTTTAACAGATTGAAAAGTCTTATTGAGGGAGCAAAAATTTCTAGATATACAACTAAAAATGACAACATTTATAAATCTGTTAAGAACATTTTTAAAGTTGAACGCGAAAGTGAAGTTGTGAACGCAGATGACAAAATAACAGTATACCATGTGACTTACATGAATAATGTATTACCAATTTTGCAATACGGATTACGTAAAGGGTCACAACTTCTCCATGTTAGGGGCGTTGAGGTACCGAGGTGCGGCGATGGCATTTACTTTTCAATTCATCCATCGTATGCTAACTTTAAAAGATCTGCAGATTGTATTCTGGAATGTACTATCGCTAATACGATACCGTACATAGATAACGGCAGACAAAATTTTGTGGTAGAAAACGAAAAAGATGTAAAAATTGATTTTGTCATAACAATACGGTGAATTAATATCATTTTTTATTTTAAAAAAAGCTGTAAATATTGGTAATATTTTTTTAGATAATTCCAAAATAAATCAAAAGTTATGAGTTAGAATAAATATATAAAGTATCACAAAAAGTCATGAATGACATTGATAAAATGTATTAAAACTGTATTTCACATATTTGACAATATTAAAAAGATTAATGCTAAAAAACAATTGTTTTATCACTCATCTATCCAAATTCTATTCAATGCTCATATTCGATTTATCCCGATCAGCATTGTTAATTTCTTTTCGTTCTCTCCAAATTTGAAGACATTCAGATCCCATATTTGAGCGGTACATAGTGAAATCGCATTTCGAATGCCATCTCTGTGACAAATCGTATGCAACGCTCAAGATATTTCTTCAAACAGTCTGTACCTTCGCTATGTCAGATAACAGATTCGGTTTACTCTGAATGATGTCAATAAAAAAAGTTACAAATGCACGTATTGCGATGAGACATTCATATGGCAGTCGAATATGTATACATACAATATATAAACATCAAAAACAAGAACATGCAAAGGAGTTATTAAAAAAAGCTGAAAAATGAAAAAAATGTGCAAATGTGCAATAAACGGTCATCAATATTTGGTTTTATTCTTTATTTTTAATTTTTCTTATCGTTCTTTGATGTGAGGATTAAATTACTTTATCAACAAAAAATTTATACAAACAGATTTAATTTTTTCAGAATTTAATCTTATATATTTTACGAACATACGACGTGACTATTTTTATATAAATTGTTTTGGAATTGGCTAATATCTGTATAGGCACTTTTTTTTTATCAAAATGAAGACTAAGCGAAAAACCTTGTTTGATTTCAGCAACATTGTTACATATTTTGCTTGACTTATTCATTCTAACGCGCAATTCACCTAAACATTTTTTTATCACAATATTAAATGCTAGACACTCATTCGATAAGTGTGAATGAATCTTATCTTAAACTAATCGATAGACATTAATTGCCTATGTAACTTGGTCAATATTAGTTTTGAATGTCATTAAGTTTCATTGGTTGTTCGAATTCTTAAGTACCGGAATCATCATATATTCCCATTCATGGACGTTTCCACAATATGGAACAAGTGATTGGCAGTCATTTATATCGTTTGTTTGATTTGCTTTGTATTTGATTTGCGTGCATTTCCTGAGAATTTTTTCTGGTAAATTTCCATTGAAATCATTTTTGAGTGTTTTGCAGATCTGATTCATTTCATTTTCCCGTTCGATTTTCAAATCGTTGAGTTTATTTGTGAGCTCTTGTACCTGTTGCTTTGTTTGTTCTAGCTTTTCGTTGAGATTATCAATGCGATCGTCCTTAAAGATATTGTCCGTTTGAAATGAAGCCATAATGCGTTCGGATGTGTCAAGTCGTTCGTTCAGCTCTTTAAGATTGTGTTCATGGGCTCGATTTTGTATTTCAAGTTCGTCGATACGTTTCACGGCATTTTCATTATTTGCATTCAAAATGGCGTTTTCTTTTTCTTTTTCGTCCAAACGTTCGGCCATTCTATCCATATCCGTATGAGCACAATCAAACGCTTGCAGCACATCTTTGCAGTTATCACATTCAATGTCGCACTTTTGCACTGGTTCCGGCGGACTAGTTTCAATGTGTTCCAGCAGTAATTTTATTGTCTCCTCCGCATCCGAATTGATTGAAGTCGCTTGTGTTTTTTTCAATGTTTGGGCACATGCTAGATCTTCATCGCACGCAAATTCAATATAAATTCGATTATATTGATATTGATCACAAAATTGACGGCACTGGGGACACGATTTCGATCTAAGTTCATAATAAACATAGAGAATATAAAAAATTAGAAATAATTCCAAAGTGTGATATTATTGTGTACTTACGATTGGAACCATTCGTTCAAACATTCGACATGGTAGACATGACCGCAACGTGTTGATGCAATTTCTTCAGTTTCAATGAACGTATTGTGACAAATAATACAGTATGGCAATGCCATGTTTTTTCTTTTTTATCAAATTCGCTTGCCAAATGGTACAATTACTGCAATTAATTAAAATCTATTAATATTCAATTTCACCATTCGGGTCAAAACAACACATTTGAATTGACAAAATTAAATCTTTCGAATTGAATGATGAAATTTTTGTGTGTTTTTTTGTAAGAACAACAAATGCAATGATCGCAAAGCAATAAAATTTAACGAAATGCGTTGCAAGCACAAAACAAAAATGATTGAGATAAGTGTTTTGTGTATACGAATCACGATATTCACGGTATTTGAAACTTTATCCGTGTGCAAAGTCCGCCAAAATCAGCAACAAATGATTTAATTCACCAACTAAATGACATTTTCAACACATTCACCGCTGGACAAGTGTCAACTGGACGGATTTCAACACTTGTTCAATATGACCATAATAACATTTACAATAATAAAACAATAAACATTCCATTGTGTTGAGTATGTTAGTTTTTGGATTTTTTTTCATCGACGACGCAAAATAGAGAAAGTCCAATTTTCATTAAAGTTTTCAATTCCAAGTATGTTTAAAATTAAACTCAATTTTTTTTTTGTTTGAAAAAAAAATTCAAAAAATTTATATTTTATGCGATTTATTACATTTACACCTGTCTTTAAACATCAAAGATATTTCAAAATTAATTTTGATATCATTTTACACATATTTGTTTGTTTTTCATTAAATTCTGTTTCAAAAAAGAAATGAAATTCAAGTAAGGCGCTCCGTCGCCGCTATTTCAACCATATTTAAATCGAAATATTTCGAAGCGAAACAACTTCATGTCTATTATGAATATTTCTTTTGTTGAATTGAAATGAAATAGTAATGACCGTTGTGTTTGTTGCGATTGGATGAGTGAAACAATGATAAATATTGAATCGGCTCACTGCAGAGCCACCACTTGCTGCTTGGCTTTGTTTAGCGGCAATGGCTTTTATGGCAACCGAAAAGAACTCAACTCTCTACCATCTCATACACACTCACACACACACATGTGCGATACATACACAAATCAACTGTTGTGTGTACTTAGAATTTCAAATCACCGTTGATGATTTTCTTCACTCTCGTTCAGAAGTTTGAATTGGATCGCGGTGAACGCTGCATTGATCGTGTATTCATACACATACACAACTACACGATTGCAAGGCAAACCAAAGATCGAGAGAAGAGAAAAAAAAGCACGCTGCATAATATAAACAATCTTATTCTTCATTATGTATTTTGAGCTACATGTGCGCCATATCGTTTGTTTTTGTTGAACTCAGTGGTCATGAATTTTTTGTGTGCATTCATTTTGATCAAATCAAAACCATAACGAAAATATAATACTTGCAATATTGTGAAATTCTACTTACCAAATTAAACGGTGACGATAAAATGCTGTTGTAAAAAAAAGAATTTGAAGAAATTTACATAAAGTGTTATTCATACAGATTGTGTATCGGAATGTAAGTGTTTGACCCAAACAGGATAATATTACATACTATACAAATAATGTTGTATGCCTGTTATTAAAATTGTGTTTGCGTTTTGAAATTGGACTAAACGCCGAATAATAAAAGCCATTGAAAGTAATTTAAAAAAATAAAAAAATAAAAATTAAAAAAGTATACATAAAAAAAGAAAGTCACATCATCCGCATAAGGATTCCATATTGAATCAAGAATATTTCCATATTGCATGTGTGTATTAAAATGTGGATTATTTTTTATATATAGCTAAAAGTGCGTTCCATTCCATTTGATTTTGATCAAAATCGATTTGCAATTATCCAAGTTAAATTTGCAAAAACCAACTGAAAAAAAACCAAGAATGAAAAATCGTTGATTTTGTTCGCTCGATCGATTGAAAATGATCGTAATCAATCGAAATAGCCGTAACCACATTGCATATAAATCGCAATACCAGAAGAAGTGAACGAAAAAAAAAACAAAATGCACGAAAATAACAAACATAAACGGCGAATAAAGAAAAATCGGTCTATTCAAGTTTGATGCTTTTGTTGTATGGTTGTTGTTGTTGTGTATTTTTTTTGGCTTCGGTCGGTTGTGTATGTGAGTGTATGCTATATTCAAAACGAGATAGCCCATAGGTTTGTGTGGTACACTCGCAGCATCGCACCAGAGATTTGGTCAATTTTCTTATTCTTTCTCTCTCTCTCTCTCTCTCTCTCTGTATCTCGACTTTTTGCTGTTGTTTTTTTCGCATTACGCTGCTTCATGACTCCTTTCAGTGTTGCGTCGTATTTTTCATTGGTTTATGTTTGAATTTCATTCTTGTTGTTTTCTTTGTATCTTGTTTTCTCTCGCGTTCTTTCACTCGTTGAGCGCGTTGGTCGATTCATCATCGCATTTGATTTTCACAATCGTTTCGTTCCTGAATCAGTTTTGCAAATCACAAAATACACTCATTCCTTTTCATCGGATGTCTTTTAAGGATTTGCTAATTTTTCTGCTTTTCGTACATCTTCTATTCAAATTTTAATGATTAACAAAACAATTGATATGCATTCCCTTAAAGCGCACTCTTTCGTATAGAGAATTCAGTGTTTGTTTTTTCTTCTGTTCTTCTGTTTTCACTCATGTTTTTGTTTCATTCATTTGTTTCTGTTTCTTTTCTCTTGCTTTTGTTTCTCTGTCTTGTCTTTTATGTTTTCTTCTTGTGAGCGCTCCACTTCATTTCTTATGCCATTGTTTAATGCGATGATTAAACAATGGCAATCTATTTGCCATTTGAAAATATGTTGTAATAACAGCTGTATGTACGAGTTGTTGCTACTACAATTTTTTTGGTAGGGTTCATATATATATGGTGCACCTTTTGTGCTGTGCGCCAATTTTAGTGCACGCTAAACGTTAAATATATATTTTCTAGCTGATACGTGTAAAATCTAAAATAGGAAAAACTACAAAAGAATTGAGCGAACTGTTGTAAAAAGAAACGAAAAACATGAGTTTTGCATACGCAAGTGAATTTTAACTCAACAATGTCGACAATGGCATCGACGGCAACGACGGAATACAAGATAGATAGATGCTTTACATTAGGGCCGATTACAGCTATTGTTTTACACTAACAAATTCTCATGTGTATGATCTGTTTAATAATTTTTTTTCATTTAATTTTCTGTCGTTGCTTCCACAAGTTTCACATATTTTTTGTTTTTGTTTTTCGTTTGCTGTTTCACACAATTCCACATGCCATGGTAATCATATGAATTTCGGTAATTTGACACGAAAATGAAAGATCATCGGCCGAATAATAACAACAGCCATTCACTAGGCACATTTCTTTTCTCTTTCGCTTCGATGAAAATGACGAAGATTTTCACCCAAAAATAAATAAAAAACATGATCTACAATTTTTGCTTTCGCTTCGTCATTTTTATGATTAAATCAACAACAACAAAATGTTTATGATGAAATTGATAAAAAGTAATCAAAATAGTGCGATAGAAATCAATAACAACGACAATATAAAAAAGGAGCTAAAAAAAAAGAGTACAAATGATTGCATTCAATTGGCTTTTATTATGTTAAATGAAATTGATCAAATGGACTGGAGCAGTAAATGGAAAATATGCTTTTTTTGTAATTATGACATTTTTTTTCTTCTATTTTTTTTGTATAGCAGTAGCAAACAGGTGTGCGCACACCGTTGATCGTGTGCTTTGGCAATACTGTCTGTGATCGTGTGGCGCGAGCTAGTGACATTATCCGTCGCACTGGTGGTGTGTCTTATTTTTAAATGCAAAACAATTATCTGCATTCGATGTAATTGATGGGTGCGTGCTTAACATTGGAGCGCGATGAAATGATCGCACGTAAACGCAGTGAAGAGATCGATAAGCAATTAGATGCTCTGGCTAAAGAACGACCCAGAATACTTAAAATACTTTTGCTCGGAGCTGGCGAAAGCGGTATGTTTCATTTTTTTAAAATAATTATTGAAATACACAATGCATGCGTGGGATTCCAATTTCACTAAAAGTATTTCGATCAAGAAAATCAATTAACATTTTCTTTGCAGCACTTTCAGCTGATTTTTTTCTTTTTGTTCGAAGTTTTTTTTCTGTTTTTACCATGAATTTTGATTGATTGATTTTTTTTATTCCAGGCAAAAGTACATGGGTGAAACAAATGAAAATCATCCACACGGATGGTTTTTCCCAATCGGAACTATCGGCTTTTCGTCCAACGGTTTTGGACAACCTACTGGCATCAATGAAATATGTTTTGACTGGCATGGGTTTGTTGCGCATCAATTTGGAGCATTCATCGAATAAAGTGTATGCTGAAATCATTCTATCGAGTCTTAGTTGTTTTGATATGGAATTTAAAATTATCGATCGTGTTCGAAGTGCGCTAAAAGTATTATGGAAAGACCGTGGAATTCGATTGGCAGTAGCAAGAGGCTACGATTACGAATTAAATGATTCAGCACTTTAGTGAGTTAACTGTTTCATTCATTTAATTGAGTTCCTTTCATGATGAACCCAATGACATTGAATAGCACCGTTTCCATTTAATTTCCGATCATTTTTTTTTCGTTCGTATTATACAGTCTATTCGAGAATATGGACAGAATTTGTGATGATAATTACATACCAACACCAACCGATGTACTGCGTGCACGAGTTCGTACCAATGGCATCATCGAAACAAACTTCCGAGTTAATGACACCATTATCAGGTATAAACCATTTTTTTAAAATCGAAAATTGAACAATTTGTCACGAATAATTTGAAAAATGTAATTATGTTTTGAAAAAAGCATGTACGATGTTGGTGGTCAGCGATCTCAGCGCCGAAAATGGGTGTACTGTTTTGAAGATGTGCGAGCTGTATTATTTGTGGTCGCACTCAGTGGCTACGACATGACACTGCTGGAGGATACAACCGTTAATCGCCTTGAAGAGAGTCTCAATTTATTCGAGCAAATTGTCAACAATCGTTGGTTCAAAGAAGCCTCGTTCGTTTTGTTCCTCAACAAATTAGATTTATTCCGTGAAAAAATTATGTCGAGCAGTCGTCATTTAAGAAACTTCTTCCCTGATTATAATGGTAATTTACGTTCAGATAAAATGTTTTCGGCTTTGAAATGATCGATACGAACACATCTTTTCTGAATAACAACTGTGCTCTTATATTTTCTAAATGGCATTGCAACATATCTGATGATTGAATCTTTTGTATCCAACAGGTCCCGATCGAAATATAGACCAAGCTGCCTTATTTATACAGAAAAAATTTCTGCAACGTAATCATAATGCACGTCGTGTAATCTGCCCACATTTTACCACCGCCACTGATACAGCAAATGTTCAAACCGTCTTCCAGGTTGTTTTCTAATAAGATTTTATATAATTCCAAAAATGATAATAACAATCAATTATTAATTTGCAGGTCGTCATGGAAACTGTGATTAAAGAAAATTTGGGCAATGTTACACTACTTTGATCACCCCCTTTTTTTAAATAAGAAAGAAAAAAGAGCTAATTTTATTTATACCTTTTATTATTTAGAGAGATTGCGGTTTATAATATATATATATATATATATATATATTTTCAAAGATCTACGAAACTTATCACAAGTGCGAAATATGAATATATTTAGATTCAATAATTTTTTTTAAAAGGCACTTAATTTACCAGGTGTATACAGTATTTGTTTTTTTAAATTTTGAACCTATCTCCGTCTCTAAAATGTTAACCCTCTAATGCATTAATTTTTTTTCGACATGAGAACTATTTTTCTATGATTATTTTGGTTTAAAATGCCTTAAAAAATAATCGAAATTCAAAAAATTATTATTATTAACATAGTTTACTCCAAAAATGCTATTGACACAATTGGAAAACAATCGAATCCATTGTTTAAACTACTATAAAATTGCTATAAACAAAGAGAGAGATATTTTTTTATCAAATTTTTGTTTTCGCGTACATCTGTGTTTATAATTAAACATCCGCTTTATATTCACTTGTCAAATGACTGGCAAATGAAAGCTTGGACCCTGCTGAATATATTTTAATTCTTAAAATAGAATCATTTGGTTTTTATTATATATTTTAGACAATAATTCATACACCCTGCCTAAAGGCAGGGCTATGCACTAGAGGGTTAATATTGCCTTCAATTTTGTACATTATTCGAAATTTATATGCTCAGTTTAACCGCTTCTGTGGCATTATGAGGACACTTTAAAATTGAGTAAAAAATCGTCAAAATTTATGCTGAAATCAATTAAAACATTCGGTTTAAGCGAAAATTTCTAAAAGGACCTATTTTCGTGAGGAAAGTAAGAAAATGGAAAATATCAAGTTAAAAAAAATGTCAACATTTAAATTTACCGAAAATAAGAAAAAAAATTGTGAAAGTGCCCTTATTATACGAATAACATTAGGCATTTTAATATCTCCATTTTTCTCTAAAATTCCATTATCAAATTTCATTTTTAAAAAAATCACCAGATTCTCTTAAATTAAATCAACGAATGACAAAAATCATCGATAACGATCTCAACGCACGCAATTCAATCAATTCAATCATACTGATTATTCATTTTTCTTTCTCTTTTTTTTCATTTGTGATTTTGTGAGTAATTTTTGTCATTTATATTCACAATCATTTTTTCGTTAAATTGTTAGAGAATAATAAAACCGACTTTAAAAAAACCATTCTGTATGTCTCTGATTAAGGAAAAATTTACAAGACGCATTTACCCATCATTATTTCCAGTTTCCAACATTTTGAGCAATTCTTCGGTGGCATCGAATGTTTCGCTGCCTTCGTTTGATTTAAGATTTTCCATTTGAAATTGTTGCAAATAACTTTGCAGCGCTGTTGTGGTTTTCTTCAAATGAACAAATTCTGAATTCGATGATGAATCGGTGGTGCTTTCGATTTCAATATTTTCCGTTGTCATCGAACAATTTACATCATCAACAACTAAATCACTTTTGCTTGAAGTGTCTGCTGTTTCGTCTGATTTTTCGACTACTTCATCCCCACCACTGGCTGATGGATCCTCTGATTGCTCTGCTGCCTCCTCTTCGCCAATCGACTCATCGGGAATAATGTCATTGCTAACATTCAATTGATTGGCCAACGAACTGAGTTCATTGCTGATTGATGACCTTTGTTTCTTTTCATTTTGTTGACGTGTCGATTTACGCGATTTTAATTTTGAAGCACTTGCATTTTTTGCGTAAATATTTTCACCGATATTATCCACATAATCCTAACAAATCAATTGATTCTGTAAATCGAAGCGAAAAAAATCGAAAATTCTGAAGAAAAAAAAACTTACCTGAAAATGTTCAATTTGTAATTGATCGGGTATTGTTTCAAAAGTTCCGTCGTTGCGTTGGAAACCGGATCGTATTAAAATCGATATTTTTATATTGAACGGTTGCATCCATAGCAAAAGTTTGCCCATTAAACCTTCTATTTCTTCGGATGTACATGTATCCCAAAATTCAATCAAACAACGCTTTGTCGAATCGACCAATAATGTTTTCTTCATTTCTGGCATCAATTTGGCCACACCGTCCATATGACGAAATGTTAATTCAAGCAAACGATGTGGATTTTCACGAATCGTGTACAATTGCCATTTGAAAAGCATTACCATTAAATCCCATAGTTTATCCATTGATGTCATGTCCAAGCGCATTAATGAACAACAAGCGATATCAGTCAATAAAATTCGACATTGTTGTACGGTCAATATGTGCTGACATGGATGTGGATTCATCAATTGCACCACCAATTTTTGATCGAATAAAACACACGTCAAGTCACGCAAAACTACAAAAAATAAAAAATAAAATTTTATTGTCTTTTACATAAAATCTGCTACAATGGGCATGTACCTTGAGCGGATTTTTCCAATGAAATACCTTGTGCTTTGAGCCGTTGGTCGATAACGTACAGCATTTCACATCCTAAAATATAGTTCGATTTTTGTTTCAACAGCGTCCATAGAATAAAAGATTGAAATCAGAAGAAAACACTTTTTTGAATGTTTTTTTTTATATCTCTTACCTAAATTGATGATTAAAAAAGCGTTTGATGTCGGCATATCGTCGATGGACTCCAGTTTCGGTTGATTTTATAATTCACCGTTTGAAACGAAAAAAAAGTATAAGATTTTTTTTAGGAATGTAATTTAAATATGCGAATTGAAAAAAGTTGCCTATTTTACGGCGTTAATCGATTTAATGTGTTGTACTCAATATTGGCTCTTTGTTATGGTTCTAAACGGTTGTTAGTGGTTTTGTAAATGTATTGGTGTAAGTTTTTGACATTTGAGTATGACAGTACGTTTATATCGAATTCTGATGAATCGAGCAAAATCACAAGTGGCGAACGCACAAGTGTGACTGAAACACTTTGAAATTCAATCAATTTCAAAAAATTTATTTATCGATTGGTGAGTACGAAAGTATCATTGAATTTATCCATAAAATTTGTATAATTCTTTATTTATCAATCAGCCTTCAATAATACAAAATTGTGTATCGATGTTTCGCATACATATATAGTCACAGATTGAGAATTGTTTGGTCGAAAGAGAGAAAGATATTGAAAGAAAAATCGGTATTACGTTTGTGTGATTTGGATACGGTCGGTGTGTGTACGCTAATCGGTTTGGAAAAGAGTTCAATAAAAGAAATCACAGAGTCCAATTCTTCAAACACAGAGAAATCAAGGTAAATGCATGTGGCAATTTGAACAGGTGTATATTTATAAATTTTGTGTATTAAATACAATTTTATATCAAATGAAAGGAGAGAAAAGCGAAGAAGATTCAAAATCATTTTAAAAAATACTGTATTTTGCGATCGATTAAAAAATCGAGTCATTGTAATGAATGAAACTGTATAATAATAATTATAACATAACCTAAATTAAACATTTTCCTTGTTTGCAGATATAAACATAAACATCGAAATCATAGTAACCATGGCGATTTATGACTTGATTGCGGACAAATTATTTATTCAGCTACAAAAAGAAAATCGTGTGGCTGATTTATCCGGTGAATTTAATCAACTGACAACGGACGCATCGCGAGTTGAATTTGCCGATAAAGTATGGACGCACAGTCAATTAAAAGTTGATGTACCAATGCGATTGCCAAAGGATCGTGAAAAATGTTTAGATTTTCGAAAGCAGGGTAATCAATATTTCTCACTGAAAAGCCGTGACTATTGTCATGCACTCGAACTGTACAATCAGAGTCTTTGTTATGCTGAACTTGATAGCGAAGATATGGCTATTGCTTATGCGAATCGGTCGGCAATTTATTTCGAATGGAAAAAGTATGAAATATGCTTGGAGAATATTCAATTGGCCAGAGAGCATGGTTATCCGGAACGATTGACGGAAAAGTTGGACCGACGTACGGCCGAGTGTGAACGTGCATTGAAAATGGCAAAAGCGAAAAAATGTAATAGCGACGACGAAGATGATGATGATGACGAGGTAGTTTTGGCACCAAAACTTAGCTATCCACCACATTCAAAGGTGCCATTCATTGCCAATTGCCTTGAAATGCGTGAAAGCGATGAGCTCGGCCGTCATATCGTCACAAATCGAGATTTAAGCGTTGGCAAAGTGGTCGCAATCGAAAATAGCTTTTGCAGTTGGACACTACCTTCGGTACGATACACAAGATGTGCCAATTGTCTTGAAGAATGTGACTACAATTTAATTCCATGCAAAAATTGTACATCAACAATGTTTTGTTGTGAAGATTGTGCAAATGAAGCATTTAAAAATTTCCATCGTTTTGAATGTCCGGTCATCGATTTCATGTTTAAAATGTTAAATATCATTCAATTGAGCGCTGTTCGAGTGGCCATTTGTGCGCTCACCAGTTTTGATAGTGTTGATGCACTACTTAAACTTACAAATGATCCGGAAACGAATAAAATAAATGCATTTACGCTGGAGTACAAGGAGAAAATGTCGAAATCAGAACTGTACAAACCAATTCATACACTTGAAACAAATCAAAATAAACGAACAACGGCCGATCTATTTCAACGTGCTGTTATAACGGCCGTTATTTATCGTGCATTAATTTCACATACACCATTGGCAGAGTTGTTGCAGTGCGATGACCATAAGAAATTGCTAATGGAGCTCATCTTTCGACATTTACAAACTGCATCAACGAATTTTCATCGATTGGAAACGCTTGCAAATGCCCGAGATCCAAATGATTTGGATGATGTTTCGTATGGATCGGGTGCATTTGGTTTTTGTAGTCTTATCAATCATGCTTGCTCACCGAATATTGTTCGATTACCGATTGGTACACAAATCGCCGTTTTTGTACTGAGACCCATCAAAGCTGGAGAGGAATTACTTGATAATTATGGGTAAGAATGATTCATTGTTCTTTTGAAGCAACTTGAGCAACTTTTAGTATAGAATTTGAAAATGTATTTTTTTTGCAGATTTTTGTGTTAATTCAAGATTTTTTTTTTGTTCATTTCCAGTTATCATCACAGCCATGAACGATTGGAAGTGCGTCAAAAGCAATTAAAATTACAGTATAAATTCGATTGCCAATGTGATCCGTGTCAAAAAGACTATCCCGTGTTCAAAGAGCTCAAAGAGGCCAACATACCAACATTATTAACTGATAACGACATAACACGCATCACAAATCTTGATAAAGAATTTGCACGCCAAAATTTCTCACGGTTTTGTACTTACCTATCCAAATATGCCGATCATTACCCGTGCACACAAATCAGCAGCGTTGAAGAATGCTTAAAAATGTGCCTGCTTATATTAGTTAATAACATACCATTGAAGCTGCAGTACAAATAGAAATTCTCATACTCAAATCTCTCTCTATCGATCGATTTTGATCAGACATTAGGTTTGAGCTATGGATATAGCGGCCGCTATTTCATAGCTGCTATTCATAGGCGCTATTTATCTCGTTTTAATGCATTTATGCATATTGTGCGTTATTTTCTACATCTCTCTCGTACTCACATTCAAATGTACAAAAGAATAGTAGGCTATGATATTCCTACTCGGTGTTACACACAGCACACGAATTAAATAGCGCCTATGAATAGCACCTATAAAATAGCAGCCGCTATATGCATAGCTCGAGCCTAATGTCTGATTTTGATATTTAAAAAAAGTCAATGAATCAATCATTTACGTTAAACTTGCATAAAAAAAATCGTCCATTTTTCCTCATGCATCTCTCATATTTGTGTGGAATATCTAAAGTGATTCTAGAATTCTTTTTATTCGATGTAACTTACGAACAAAATTTAATAAAAGTTTTTATGGAAATAATTTATTGTCATTTTTTAACCCCTCTCCAAAGAAAGACATCCAAGCAGATGTAATTGGCATTGAATTTAGTTAATTGGTCAATTGAATAGAAAATACAGATCGTATCCAGTATAAATATGCTCATTGGGATAATACAGTCATATACACGCATACACATACACACGCCATACACATACACATCCGACCCAGGCACTCAAACGAAATTATCAAGTCTGCCGGCTACTAAAATATGAAAGAAAAAGAAACGAAAACACAATTTTTGTGAATATTTTAACGTGCCACTCAAACGTCAACGTTAGTTTATTTGTAACATTTGTGAGCAGCACATCTGAAGTGATTTGCGATCATTATTTGTTGTTTTTTTTCGTGTTCCTCGAACGTCGTAATAAATAGAAATTGAAAATAAAAAAAGGTCACATCATGTCATTCGTTCGGATTTTAGTTGGAAATGTAAAAACATTTGCAAATCCAAAATTTATTGCAGTTCGTCAATTTGCAAGTGCTTGTAAGTTTTAATATGTAATCTCTTTTTCTCAACTCAATTAAATGTGATTTTCTCGTTCAACGCACGTTATCACCAATTTGATTAACCTTTGAGTGTGTGTGTGTGTGTGTGTGTGTGTAAGAGACAGTGAGAGTGAAAAATATATTGTTGTTTTTTCTAAGATATCAATCTTACAACGTCATGCTATAAATCGCGCGCTCTCCTCAGCTGTCTGTATACTCTAAAAAAATTGATTAATTTTCCGTATGTTTTTTTTTCTTTTTTCGCTGTTATCTTTGCGCCTATTTTAGCTTCATCATATGAATTCATAAAAACGGCTGTTGTTGGTGAAAAAAATAATGTGGCTCTGGTTACATTGAACCGCCCAAAAGCGTTGAATGCATTGTGCAATGGATTAATGACTGAATTGAATCAAGCACTTCAAACATTCGATAAGGATGATAATATTGCTGCAATCGTATTGACAGGCAGTGAAAAAGCATTTGCTGCTGGTGCCGATATTAAGGAAATGCAAAATAATACGTATTCAAATAGTATTCGAACAAATTTCCTAGCCGATTGGACGAATGTGACACGCATTCAGAAGCCAATTATTGCCGCTGTTAATGGTTATGCCCTTGGCGGTGGATGTGAATTGGCAATGATGTGCGACATTATTTATGCTGGCGATAAAGCGAAATTTGGTCAACCAGAAATTGCAATTGGTACAATTCCCGGTGCTGGTGGTACTCAACGATTGACACGTGTTGTTGGCAAATCAAAAGCAATGGAAATTTGCTTGACCGGTAATATGATCGATGCAACGGAAGCCGAAAAATCGGGTTTGGTCAGTAAAGTCTTTCCGGCCGATCAATTGGTCGATAATGCCGTTAAATTGGGCGAAAAAATCGGAACACACTCACCATTGATTGTACAATTGTGCAAAGAATCCGTTAATACAGCATATGAAACGACATTACAAGAGGGTTTGAAATTCGAAAAACGCACTTTCCACGCAACATTCTCAACGGTCAGTGAGAGATACATTTTATTTTATAGATTTTTTTTTTTTTTTTTTTTTCAAATCAAATTTGGCATTCAATCAATTTTTGATCTCCAATTACAGAAAGATAGATTAGAAGGAATGACAGCCTTTGTAGAGAAACGGGCTCCAAACTTTAAAAGCGAATAGTAAATGTTACGCCGGAACTCTGAATAGACAACAACTCTGAATCTGTTATTTACAACCAATGATGGGATGGGTGCATTTATATACTTTTTAAAAAAATGCGAAAACAAAACAAAAGAACACAAAAAAAAACTGTACAATAAAAAAGCGAATATTTTTTTATCAGATAATTTCATTGTATGTTTTGATTCGTTTCAGTCACCGTCCATCAGACAACACTCTCTGTATCTCGAAATCTCTTCATGCATACACACACATGTGTACACAGAGATACGCGAACACAATAACGTGTGCGTGTGTGTACGATATTGTGATATGAGTGTGCGCGCTTGACTGTTCAGTCATTGTATCCATGTGGTTGTGTGTATTGATGTTTTTCATTATCCAATGGTATTGTTGTTGTTATTGCTGTTTTTGATAGCTATTATCTTTCTCTGTGCCCATGTTCGCCCATATAATCACCATTCATAAGTTTTGTTAGTCAGTCAGTTGAATACAAGTGCGCAAACTAGAACCAAAGTAAGGATCAACAAATAACATCTATTATTATCATTTCTTTTACATCCTTTTATCGAATGACACAAAAAAGGAACAAAATTTGAAATTTTTCAAAAAATAAAAGTTTTTTTTTGATACAGTCTATAGTGGATGCGGTACTAAAGAATCAAATTTTGAAATGAAAAATCAGTTGTTTAGCTTGTCGTGTTTTAATCCAACATTCTGTTGAAAACGACTAGTGTAACACAATACACACCGTTTTATCGTTTCAAAGAGTACAGAGGTTCTTTTTTTGTATATTAAACACAGAATATTATTCAACGACCGCAACGGCAACGACGGTTTGGTCATAGGGAAGAGGAAAACCCGTTTTGAAATTAGATTCTTGTAACGCATTGACCGTGCCAAAGTGCGTTTGTCATCAATTTTATTGATGATAAAATATACATACAATAGTATATCATGTTTTCCTATCAATTAGGTTTGAGAAGAGTGGCAAAAAAGGTTCAGGGTCACAACAGACTAAAGTACTGTGTGCAGAAATTAGCAAAAAAATTCATAAAACATACAAGAACAAATATTTATATGAAATTTATTTAAACACCCAAATCAAATTAAATTTTGCATATCTTTTTGTGTACTGTACTGAGTTTTTTTCCACCTGCCAAAACATTTTTTTATCTACATTTTTAAATCTTTTATAGCACATATCCCAGTATTATCTTCATTCAGCATCGAAAAAGTTGCGTAAACTTTCGTGTTTAAAAAAAAAGGTGTCAAACGTAAATAAATTTTTTCGGCAATTTTCCATCGAGGGAAAAAGAGATCGATCGAAAAATTCAATATATTTGATATTTGTTTTGTGCAATTGACGTGGTAACGATAAATAAATAGTGCAAATCCAAAAATGAATGCTGGCAGAGCTTACGGTGGTGGAAAAGCAGGAGCATCATTTGATCCGATCACATTTGTACAAAGACCACAAGTTATCCTTCGTGGATGTTGCTGGGTAAGTGTGTCAATTTATGTTATTTTGTATTGACCAAAAATACACAACAACCGTCACACAGTCAGTGCTTTCATTTTTGTCCTGATTGACTGAAATGGAATGAATGGAAAACATGACACAAACATAAAAATCGATAAAGACGTTGAAAATGAAAAGGAAACTCAAGCAGTCATTAAAAACATCAATAAATTGGAAGAAAAGGAAGTCTCGTGACACAATGTACCAATACAAACAATAATTGAACGAGAGAGAAAGAGAAATGGGTTGAGAAAGTAAATTGAAACGACAAATGAAGAAAAAAAACGGAGAAGAAGAAGAAGAAGAAGAAAAAACACACACGAAAAATACGCATGAAATGAAAAACATGGAATACGACGAGTGATGAGTGATGAGAGCGCAAAAGAGGTTCCATTCATCGATTTTTCGGCATGTAATCGGACGAATCGTTTCGAGTATGTGGGGGGTGTTTGTATATGTGTGCTAGTTGGATAAAGGACATGTTCTTCAATGATGAAAACGATGAGAGTGGTGAAAAGTGTTTGCCGAGAGAATCCATGGCTCTCTGTTGCCACTGCTCTGCTCGTCGTTGCTAACCCTCTATTCCTCTATCCCGGTGTGTGTATGTGTTTTGTACAAATGCATTGACCTGTTCACAAGTGTTGGTTTTTTTGCCTTGCTGAATGGTGGTATCAAGGCGCTTTCCCACACTCACTCGCTCTCTCTCTCTCTCTCCAATTCTCTCGCGCTCTCTGTCATTTTCTCCGTGTGGTAGCTTCACAACATCTACACATCACATGCGAACATGCATCCTTCGATATCACGATTCGATTTGCATTGAAACATATCAACGTTTGCAAAATGCCAATGGTAACAACATTTCGATTAAAATCTGAAGGATATTTCCCCCACTATGCATATAGAAAATGTACAATTAACATGTACATGTGCCTAGTCGAATGACAAGCAAATCATTCTCTCCTTACTGATGTTATTACATAAAATATGATAAATCTAAATCGTTTCAAATAAGTGAAAACATTTTCTATTTTTGTCATCTATCTGCCTGGCAAAAGTCAATTTCTCAACAATTTGCGATTTCTTCATTTCGCACCAACGAATTTTAGGCGATATACAAACTTTTAATCACCACCAATTCAAGCTTTAAATGCCGTTTAATTGAAAATGATTATAATTTGAAGCACAGAAGAGACGGCGATTGAAATTTTGAATAATTAAAAAGTTTTCGCCTCTTTTCGCTTTATAAAAAAGAAATGTGACTCTTTACACCACAAATCTGTAACTTAAAATGCCGGAAAATATGGCAGCTATGCATATTGCCATAATGTTCCCATATTGCCATAATGAAGCAAATGTATTCAAACTTAAACTGAAATGTATTTTAGTCGATTTATCGAATAAAAACACACAATTTGCGGGTATAGCATTTGAGTTATATATAGAAATATGTGAAAATCGTTTAGTTTGTGTCGCAAATTATCTCGACTGTTGCCACGGCTTGGTGGTTGTCAGTGACGATGATGATGATGATGCCACACCTAAAATATATGCGTATGCAGTACGTATGATCATGAAACAAAATACGAAATTGCTGTAAATAATATCCGATCATAATATTGGTATAATTACCACACTTTCTCTCTCTCTTTCTCTCTACTTCTCCAAACTGACAGTCCCAGACGAAAAATACAGTGTATTTAAAATGCAATCGATATAAAAATATCTCGAGCACTGAATACCGCCAAACCTACACTTACTTTATTATCATCTGTTCGATGTTTTGTTTCAGACCCGGTGTCATTTCGTCACATTACTGAAAGTCCAATTATTTAACCTATCTCCATAACCAAATTAATTACTCATCATCCAAAGCTATTCGTTTCTTTTTGAATCTAAAATTGGCTTGTTATTCACTTCTTGTCGTATTTATAATTCATATGTCAATCGATGTAAATTATTTTTTATACGTCGTCATCTTCTCTTGTGGCTGTCACAGTTCGTCAGTCACCGTTTCAATTTTTAATGCTATATGATTGAACTCTCGCCGCTATGAATGTCATTCATTTGTGCATCACAATGCAACGACGTATAATCCATTTATGTTTTGAGTACAACAGAATTGTGCGAGAATGAGTCCAACGAATTCGGTCATTTGCGGTGACAATAATTGTGCACATGTATCAAATGATCAATGATTGCTTGGAATTTGCCATTTTCCCTATTTTTTCTCCAAATAAAAGTGTAGTAAGCACGAAATATGATAGTTGTGCGAAATATTTTCTCATTTTACCACATTCAACAAGTTTTAACGGCATAATTTATTTCGACTTAAATGTATGTTTCTTTTTTTGTCCCACATAAGTTGTTCTCGATAATTGTATTTGGTTGCATATCATCGCAAGGTTGGCGCGTTGATGAAACCACAAAGAAAGACATTTGTTTGTATAACAACAATCCGACTGCATGCAATTATGGTGTTACGGTCGGTGTGATTGGATTCTTGGCATCCATGGGTTTCATTGCTGGTGAATACTTCTTCGAGCAAATGTCATCGGTGAAGACAAGGAAACACTATGTACTGGGCGATCTTGGATTTTCTGGTATGCATATTGTTTTTCATTTATAAAACTATTGGATTTTCTGTTTTCTCATCATTTGTTCGATATGAAATTTTCTTTTATTATTCATTTCACTTTGAAAACGAACAAACAATTTCCTCTTTTGTTTCATTGTATTTATATGTCTATTGAATATACCGAGAAGAGAGTATGTTATTCAGCGCTTATGGCTGAGTAATGTCTCAATAAAAACATACTCTCCTCTCGATATTTTCAATAGATGTGTGATTTGTCTATCTATTTAGTACAATAGTAACTAAACACAACCTCATTAAAAGCTAAATCAATACGACATAGGGCTTTTTATTTTCACAAAATTTAAAAAAAAATACTGATTTTTCTATTGTAAATCGAATCGATATACTTGTCGTGTCATATTATTAAACATTTAATGGTAATGACTTGGTTATTTTTTCTATTCTCTATTCTATTAAAAAGCATTATGGGCATTTTTGTGTCTCATTGGCTTTAAATACCTATGGGGCGAATGGTCAAATGCGGAAGCTCCACCGATGGGTTATGGTGATGGAAATGTGAAAGCAACTATTTTTTTCCTCTTCTTGTTGATTGGAACATGGGTAACTCTTTAGATCTTTTATTACTTTTCGACTTTTCGACTTTTTTCCCCTTCTACATAAAACTTCTGATTTTTGAATTGTTTTGCAAACAAAATTCGATTGAAAAAATGTTGAGTTGAAGTACTTTGAATTCATTTAAGTCACAACAATTCAGCGAGAAAACTTTAAATTAACACTTCCACCAGTTTCACAAAAAAAAATATATTCTGCATTTGATTTGAAGTAAATTTATAATTTATTTTTTTCGGGTAAAAACAGGGTGGATGTGCATATTTTGCATACCAACGCTTCCAGCAAGGTGTTGATGTGGCATTTGCATCGACGTATGATGCATCGGATCCAGCTGCCAATCAATATTCAAGCTATCCAATTGGAAATGAAACGGATCAATACAATGAGCCACCGTTTGCGAATGCTGGCCAACAACAACAAAGAGGTGAAATCGAATTTGATGACGAACCGAAAATGGACATAAATAAATTTATGAAAATTATTATCAATTTCAGGCGGTAACGAATATCAAGCTCCCACCTACTAATTACAACATCGATTAAAGCCATTTTCTTTCGATTAAAAACCAAACAACCATTTGAATGGATTTTGTGACACCATTTGATCGAAACACTTGCAACAACAAAATATATATATATTATATATAAATGAAATAAACCAAATATCTCAATTTGTTAAGTGAAATAATGTGCTGGAGTAAATTGAAGTTTATTTGGTGGCCAAATGGAACGGGTAAATTATTCAATTTTCACGTATTGTTTCTCTGAGGAGGAGGGGAACTTCAGGGTGGACTTTTTTTGGACAAAAATATTTTTTTGGTTGAAAACATTTTCTCCTCATTTCCCCCTCTTCCTTTCCTTTTGACGGGGAAGCCTCACTCCTTCTCAGAGTTGAATCATTTTTTTATTTTCTGTAAAATTCATTGTTTTCTTTTTGCAATTCTCCTCTAGGTAAGACAATAGCATATTTTTAAGAGTGAAAAACTACAACAAAAATAAAATCTATACATTTCTGAATGAAATTGATGAACAGATTTAATAGCGCAAGTCAAAAAACATCACAGTACAGATACAAAATAATGAAACAACAACAAAAATATTTAAAGCAAATAAATTTAAAGCAACAAAAAAGCATAAATTATTATGGTAGATTATTTAAGGAATGTATTGATTAAGTAACTTCCAATGCAGCACATAATAACAAAAAGTGTTTTTTTTTGCTTCGAAATGCATTCAAACGTTTAATTTGCATGTGGCATACACGATAACCGATACAGTATTTCGAAACTTCAGTGATTTTTTTTAAATTGATTTCTTCTGTTTGATGCCCGATGCGAAATGTTTTTGTCTGCAACATCACAATTAAAGTTCGACCATTGCCATGATCAACAAACATTTCAAATATATATATACATTTCTCGGTATGGACATCATTCAAATTTAACAACGTTTTTCGCGTTATTAATTGCATCCAAAGAAATTATTTTTAATACAAAACTTTTACACACAATGACATTTTTAGTAGGAAAGTGGCAAAAAATTGGGAAATAATTTTTTTTAATTTTTGTGTGTGTATGTGTGTCTCAAAATAAAATGGTAGACCGCAAATCAGAGATGAATCTCGATCGAACATATTTGAGAATAAACGCGCAAAATAGAACCATACACATTTAATTGAGAGACAAAAAAATATATGTATTATTTTCATTTCATTGCAAAGGAACATAGCTGGCCATGTAAGAACATTTGCTGGCCTGGTACTTTAGACGTCACAACAGTGCCATTTATATGGAATTTGAAAACAAAAATGAAAAAGAAGCAAAAATATATATATTTAACATTAAGAGATATAATACATACACACATTATTAATATTTAGAATTTTGGTTTCATTTTTGCGTTGTTTGGCCATCAGGCCTCACAATAAAAAATACGCATGCTAATCCTAAATGACTTTTTGAAGGAAAAACTAATTGTAGCAATAATTGAAACAAAAATATTTATTTATATTGAGCCATATTCGGTTGTTGGAATTTTTGAATTCTCGTAGTCAAAGAGAAACAAAGTGAAAGAGAAATCAGCTATTGTTATTTAGTTTTAAGTTGGTCATTTTAAACAGAATCATTTGTTTATTAATAATCATCGAGGAAATGAGCTAATACATTTATTTTATTTATTTCATTTGCTTCTCTTCCGAACTCTCAATGAAAACCACACACTCCTCGCTGTCCCCTCCCCTCTTCACTGATATAAGTAATGCGAATTAATTTCCAAATATTTTTTAAATGTGTGTGTGTGTGTGTGTGTTTTATTATTATTTTATAAAGAAAACAAATTGAGAACGAAATAAATTATCACCACCGTCAAATGGCAATAAAACTAATATACACCTTCGATTTTTCTGAATATATATTGATGCTATATAGCTTCCAAGATGAAAACGAACAAATACAATATTGAAATAACCAACCCATTGTGATTCTCATATAAATTCCAATCAAGAAACCAATTCCAATTCATCGTTTTAGCATTCCATCTGGAGATTTCATTATTTTGGGATGAACATTCCTTACATCTTTCACTTACCGACACGGATGTGTGTGTGTGTGTGTGTATGATGCCGACTCTTATTATTTTCTTGATTGTATGGCATTCTTCTCATTCAGTGATAATATCGTCATAGTTTCATTCAGATTGAACAATAATAAATACAAATTTGTACAACATGTTACAGTCATTTCATAATAAGCAGTGTACTTAAATGAATGGTGTGAACGTAATATAGAATATTTGCAAATAAAAAACACCATTATAACAATTGATATGTAGAGTGAACAAAAAAAAATACAAAAATTCTTGTGCTGCACACGCTTTTCATTGTTGATCAAAAAAGAAATAAAACCAGAAAAAATTCTATTCATAGAATGCGAGACTGCTACGAAGATTATTGAGAACTTGAACTACCATTGAACACTGTGTTTTTACATTTATTCAGTTTCAATGGAAACCAATTCTATTTATGTTCCAGACTGTGAAATAAATAATAATTAAATTAATAACACAAAAATTGTCTAGATTCGTCTATACTTCATCAGCATGTTAGTTTCAGACAGTATTTTTGAAAACAATAAAGAAATTGTAATTTATTTAAAACATAATTGTTGTCTTAGGGAGTTAGTTAACGGCACCATACATATTTATGATCAAAAAAGGAGACTATCGCCAGAATGATTTAATCAGGGATGGTTACTCTGAGGAGGAGAAAGAAAATGAGGAGTAGAAGATCCTTTCCTTTATGTGATGGAGAATATGTTTTTAACCAAAAAAGATATTTTTATGATGAAAATAGCTTTTTGACCAAAAAAAACTGTTCGTCCTTGCCGTTCTTCTTCCTCAGGGGAACAACCCTTGAATTTAGTGCAGATGAATTTCGGTAAATTTCGATTTTTTAGCTTTTAAACAAAACTATCGAGTCATTTGTATCTTTGATGTCTAAATTCAGCGATTCAAGTGGCTCGTAACAGTGTCGTTTTCTAATAAAAGACGAAATGTGGCAAAATTCATTTGAATTAAAGGATGGATCTCTGAAAAAAAAACTGATATCTAAAAATTCACCAAATGAAAATGCAATTTGTTGAAAATGTGAAGAAGGCAAAAGATATCTGAAAGCAAATTGCATCATGTTCTAAATAATATATCATATTTAAAAAAACACTATTGGAATCTCCACCCCCTTTTTTTAATTTCTATGGATAGATTTAGGCTTTGGAATCTTTATAAATGTATTTCCCTTGTATGTCGAAAAATATTCACCCATATTGGTACACACATATTCAATTTTATTGGCATTTTAAAAGGAAAATTCCCCATTGGAATGCAGGCAAAGAAAAATAACTTATCATTCAATTGAAATTGTCATAAAAAATACAGGTCAAATGATTGAACCACCGTAAAATACATTTTTCCCCGTCGAAATAAATACCGAATTTCTTTTCTCGACGTACATATCAACAAATTGCAATACGAATCAAAAAGAAAAGAATGAGAAAAATGTCAATGTCTGTAACATTTTCATTTGTTAAAAAAAACTTGAAAATTGGAATAGATATACTTCCAACATGCACTGATTTGTTTTTAGTTAGAGTATGTTTTGTGAAAGAAAGAAAAAGAGAAGAAGATATAAGTAACAAATGTGAAACCTAGTCAAATTATTGTTTCAAATACAAGGCATGACAATTTTCATGTATTTTATTGTGTAGAGTCTTGAAGTTTAATGAAGAAACAAAAAAAAAACACACATCGAGAAGAAGAACATTCAATGTTCAAGCAGTTTTCAACGGCAACAAAAGCATGAACGTTTTTTGTTGCTGTTCAAATTCTCGTATAACTACAATATTCCGGCTTCTTCTAAACATACAACCATATTATACGAAACAAATTGGATTGAATCAATCATTTGAACAAGTTAATAAAAGATATCAAACAGATCAAGCTTGTAAACGATATTCTCCAATAAAACAAAACAACATATACAAAACAACTGATTTCAAAAAATAATTAAAAGGCGAACATCGTGAAACAAGAACTAATAATTTTAAATGAAAACAAACAACATCTTATTATTTAGCCAATTATATACATTTACGTATTATGAAATATGCGTTGTAACAAGGAAATAAAAAAAAATTACAAAGAAATTATAATAATTAAATAAATGTAGTACACCCAACAAACAAAAATGTAATGTTTTTTTATTCATTTTAACGTTGAAAAATGTAATGTTTTGGCCCAGTTTAGTGGTAATTTTTGAAAGAAAATTGTATGCAAAAAAGTAATATATTTCAATAGAATATTTCCATTTGTTTTATTTACTGGTGTGAGACTTGATGTCGGAGTTGAAGTTTAAAGCATTTTTATAAACAATAATCGCATCGCATACATAAATATTTCTCTTTTCGATTGTGTTTACATAAAACGTTTCGACAGACTCCGTGTGATAGCTATGTGTGTTCGTTGATTAACAGTATGCTTCGTAAGCAATAACAGCATTTGATACAACGTATTGATTATTCATATGCATTTCTGTCTACATATACATTATGTATCACTCTGAGTATTCACTCAGATTTTTCTTAATTTGCTTGTGTCAGCAAAATTCAAATTTCAACCGAAAATCACACATCTCGCTTTGTTTATAATTTGACATTTCTCGCCGACGTTCATTTTGCTTGTTACTTCAAATGTGTACGGTGCATTGTGTTGATTAGTTTCAATCGTAACATTTCAGAAGGAGTTGTTTTGTAAATCAGAACACAATATATTCTGATGGTGAAATGAAAGTGACTAAATAAATCGTTTTCTTCGACAACACAAATAAAATCTCATTTTCATATCAAAACGTTTGAAAAACAGTTTCTGTTCATTTTCAAAATTGTGCTTCAAACCACGAGTGCTTTTATGCTATTTTACAAATAATATTTTCATACGGTGATTTACATTTCGATTTTGATCATCGGTCATTTTTAATAAACGTTTACTTTTGTCGATTCAACAATAATAAAAAGGCTGGTAGCTGGGTATACGATCGGGTGGTGTATCATTGTGAACAATATTGTACAAATTTTGTGATAAATTCAGTCTGTGATCAGACGGTGAATAAAAAAAAAAAAAAAAAAAAATAATTCCCTATAAATTCAGGTGCATTTTTGAGGTGATTCCACAGTTTAGTAAAGAATTTCACAGCAGTAAGTGTACACAGAGAGAAAAAATTTGGTAAATGTAAAGGGTAATTTGTAAGTTTAATATTACTTTACCAAATTACCGTACGAATTCTACCATTTTGTCATATTTTCAAAACAAACGACACGAACAAATTAAATTTACCCCAGCATAATATTACATTTACCAATTGCCGCGTAGCAGTCAAAACATACCTAACGTCGACATATCATCGTATTGTTCACAACCTACAACATGTCTAATCGCGTGAACTTTTGTCCGCAAAAAAATAAAAGCGAAGAGATCAAATCAGAATTGGGATTGGCAAATTTTAATAATTTGTATATGAATAATACAGAAATCGTCGATAAAAGTGAAATCAAAATCGTCGAATTCAATACGAAGAATTTAATAACACAGTCGATGATATGTCGACGTTAGGTATGATTTGACTGCTACGCGGCAATTGGTAAATGTAATATTATGCTGGGGTAAATTTAATTTGTTCGTGTCGTTTGTTTTGAAAATATGACAAAATGGTAGAATTCGTACGGTAATTTGGTAAAGTAATATTAAACTTACAAATTACCCTTTACATTTACCAAATTTTTTTTCTCTGTGTAGCGTCTCTTTGACCGCTCTATATTTGTATATATATTTTTCAAATGAAAAAGTGTTTTAATTAAATTTATGCAATTATTTAATCTCTCTCGCTAGCCTTGTGTTCCAATTGCCGACCATTGCATCGTGAATACAACATTTTCGAACGCGCTTTTTGTCATTTTGCAGTGAATGTGACAGTGTTGTTGGTAAGTACTCAAAAACGAACCATTTTTCTTGATTTTTTTTTTTGAAGTGATTGAATAATATATTTAATTTACCTATTATCCAATGAGCTGTGGATTAATAATAATATAAAAACACAACAGGTTTGGGTTACTTTGTAATTGCAACTGTTTTAATAAGAATGAATTGTTTGTCAAATCGGTCATTATGCTGATGCATGAATTATAATGTTTGAATGAATGAATTAATTGTTTGTATGTATTGAATTGTATGATATATATTATATTGTATGCATTCTTTTGTGTACGGTTCGTTACACAGTGATCAATGGACTGTGTGTCACGAATTTGACAATTTTTTTCGTGTTTTTTTTCTGAACAGATTTAATTTTCATTACAATGAAGAAGAGACGTGCAAAAATAAATTCAGCCTTTAAGAAAAATACGGCAAAATTGAACGACAATGAAGAGTTGCGATCGATAAAACTGTCAGCGCCTTCGGTATTCAAGTCTGAATATTCGGAAGCGCTAACAGAGCATTTTTTCCATAAATGCTACGATGGTACAGTAATATGCTACCCAGGTTCGACATTGTTTTTTTATGTTGTCAACATTGCAGCAGATAACGATGATCGGCAATATTTCATTGACAGTGTTGGAAAAAATGTTATACGTGAGTGTTTCGCCGCCGTATCACGAGAAAATTTGGAAAATCCAAATCAACCGAAAATACCACGTGGATTCCTTGAAATGATTGCCGATGATCAATTTGAATGGCCAAGTAGGTACCAAATGGGCAACGCATTTGAATACTTGAATCAACAATATTTGTCAAATGTTACGACAAATTTGACAACTCATTTAGATAATATATTGGAGAACTTCTTGCAAATGATTCGCTATCAATTGAACGAAGACCCTAATCGGCTCATAAAATTTGATGGCATTGACATAAGAAATGCAAAGAACAATCTTATGTTCAATCAAGATTGTACCGGAGTCGATCAACACCGAATGAACAAAATGAATGAGTTGTATGAACAAGTCGCCGTACGCTGTTTACCATCATTTCGCAACCATTTGTCAATGATTGAATACATCGAGAAAAAGTGGTTTGAATCGTTGTGGTTTTTCATCTTCATTCAACGTGAAATAAGTATATTTTTGGAAGAGCATCACGATCTTGTGCAATTATGGCTACGACACCAACGCCATCCGCTTTTTTATTGCAAACCATCCAAGCCATTGCCACCAAAAATAAGAAATTTCACCGTCATACCGATATGTGACTCGCAGTTGAAACACATTAAATTCGATCAAGTTGATTTGATGAGCCTGCTGGCCCAATGGAAAGTTGTGCCGAAGATATTTAACAATGATGATGGAGGGCATAATATGTATAGCCGTAACTATTACAAGGAGAACGAAGATGAGGCATGGGCCATTTTGTTCAACATGGACAAAATCAACGAGATCAAGAAACCGAACCAACAGTTTCATCACATGATAGTCTGCGATAGCGTTTCCGCGTCGGTATTGTACAGAACACCAAAGCCTGAGATCGAGAATACGGAGCTGCATCGACAAAGAATCAAGCAAAAACTCGAGAACAATGAGTATAAATACATCGTCGCAATTGATCCCGGTATGAAAACATACTTAGCCGGAATTCGTCGGAATATTGAAGATCGCACTGAGGTGAGTTTATATTTAAATAAAATGTTTTCTACAAAAATCAATGCTCATTTTTAAATTTTTTTGTTAAAGGAAAATTTCAAGATATCTTCGAAGTCATATCATTGGGGTGCCGGACAAAAAGTCAGAGACAAAATGGGAAAGCTTATGACTGCCAGATTCACGCAACGAGAGCAATTGGACCGTGAAAGCTATCCATCGATACCATCACCGCGAGGAATCCGATGGAGAAATTACGTCAGGCATCGATTAACCATGGTGAAAGATGCTCGGCGACGTTATTCACGGCTTTCGTTTGACAAATACATCGGGTCACAAGGTGAGAAAGATTGGCTGGCGAAAGTAATAACAAAGAATGAGCCATCGCTTATAAACATCGGAGCAGTGGATATGGCACCCAATTCACCAATTGGCATAAAAAAGGGAAAACGATGCCCAGGTACACGGCATCTTCAATGCAGCGTTAAAAAACTTGGCCATTCAGATGTACACAAAGTGAATAAAGATTTCACATCTCAACACTGTGCGAATTGCCAGAAGAAATCCCCGATTCAAACACAAAAATATCGATTCAAAGTGTGCCACTGTACTCGCGATGCACCAATACCACAAGAAATAGAACCGTATATCTCACTACCACGGCTAATTGTGACGAAGAAGAGTCAACGACGCAAAAAGAAAGATAGCTGCGTGAAGAAATTGATCGCAAGAGGCATCATGGATCCAGCAAATCAACCAGCAGAATTTCAACCAGGACGATTAGAGTCAAAGAAAATGTACTTTCTGATAAACTGGCTACTAAACTCTGTGAATGCAATTCAAATGGGAGGCGACGCTGATAAATATCCGGAACAACAACAGCAACATCAAAAACGATTTTGCACCGTTTGGCATCGAGACATTGTTGCGGCTAGATGCATTATGTACAAAGGTAAACACTGTAATTTATTTGGTATATTTTCCAATAATTTAAATTGCCTCTTATTAACAGGTCTTTGTTACATATTCAATTTGGAAATGCACAACTCGTATGTCAGAGCACCAGCACCTCCAAGACCACCATTGCGTAGAAGACAACCAGCACGCAGAAGAGCCAATGCAAACGTTGTTCCAGATCAATGATTAAGCAGCGTCGAAATTAAAAAGAAAAAATATAATAACTCTGGTAGTTAGTAGCAAAGCTTGTATTTTGTGGCTTTGGTGATTGTGTATAGTACACATTGTCTAAATGTGCATGCACAGTTCAGTACAGATTTATCTGTAGGTAAGTATTATTTTATCAAATGTTAAAAATGAATTTAATTTGGATGTGGCGCTCAGTTAAATAACATTCGAAAAAATCCATTTTCGCCGATAGAAATATGGCTCTATAGATTTTAGCTAACTTTTTCTTTCTCCTTCTTTTTCTTCCACTGGTGACGTTGAAAATGACTGAAACTACACACAAATCCGGCCACAAAATTGACCGTCAACATATGCCCGATAATGGTATTTAGGCTAACAGTTTGTGGTAAAATTACACGTCGCTTTAAGTGGTTGAATCAATTTGTATCAATAAATTATTCATTGTATGAAATTAAAGTGCAGATTAACCATCATTTTATTTAAATTTGATGCAGAAGTGTGTTCGAAAAATGTTAAAATAAAATTCGCTTTAAATAAAAGAATAAATCCATTTAATGTATTTTTTTGTTCGATATGTTTATTTGACTCTTGTGCTATGCCCTGAATCAAACATGGAACAATATCTATATTAACCAAAATGATACGAACATTTTTTTTTCTTCTCTATTTTAGTTTTGTTTCCATTGAGAATATGTGTATGTGTGTATTTTGTTTTAAATCGGGGTGAATCAAAAACCGATCTATATGTATGAATCTATAAAAGTAAGTATCGATTTTAATCGGATGCACTTCCAACGGCAGGTACAGCTTTTTCAGCCAATTCATCAACATGTTTCAAATATTCGTAGCTAATTCGTACAATGCCATAACCAGATCCAAGTCCTACAATGGTGCCAACGACAGCGTTATTTGGAATTGAGCTGTGAATAATTGCCCAAACCAAAACAGAGCCCAAGCTGAACAATGCACTGCCAACAACACTGTAATACAATTGAAACGTTTCGAAAATGTTAACAATTAAGCCACCGACAATAAAATGAAAACATGTTTTACCTGTATACAACCTTCTTTTTGATATCGAGTGATTTTAAATGCGGATAGTCATACATGTACAATGTGGTGCCGAAAAGTGTATGGATCGATAGGAAATTTTAGACATCACGTTTTGGAATTATGCTATCGAGAGAGAGAGAGAGAAAAAGAGATCATTGACATTTTTTGTTTTTGTTTTTTACGTACGGAAATATCAAAACATTCTCAATGTGTGGTTTACTTACCTAGAGACTAATTTCGGTGTCAAAATATTGATCGCAAGAGCACTGTCAGTGAACAACAAGATGGAAAAACAAAAGCGGCTCCCTAGGGGACATTCATACTAGAAAAACTAGTGAAACTAGCAGCAACTAGCAGCGACTAGCAAGCACTAGCGTATTATAGTCCAAAGCAAATGAATTGAGGCATGTAAGTCGCTTGCAAACGAACCAAGTGAATAGCGGAGACGCACGAAAACGAAGTGAGTGAATAGCGACAACGAACGTTGTTATCCGTTGCCGCAATACACTCACTTCGTTATCGTGCGTCTCCGCTATTCACTTGGTTCGTTTACAAGCGACTTAAGCATTACTGTTGTTTTTTTTATGTATCATACGATACGTCTAGGTAATTTCAAAACACTAGAAAAACTAGCAGCTACTAGCAGCACTAGTGTACTCACTAGTAATACTAGTAAGCGATTAGCGAATACGTAAATAAAACTAGCTTACTAGAATTGCTACGAATGTCCCCTAGGCGGCTCCCACTAAAACCGAAAACGATAATTTGCGATTCAATATCTTCAATACATTGAGAGTGAGAAAAAAGAAACACGAACCTCTTTACTTACATAATGTGTGAATGTTCTTATGGGTACTTTTGCCGAAACTAGAGGACGTTTTGACATTTAATGCCAAGTATTGGTATTGGATCGGCAAACGTTTGTATTTTTACTGCCACACACAGACATGCCGATGCGAAACATTCTCGCTGAGAATGACTTTGGAAAACGTTGGCAACACCAAATATACAACCATCCGTCTTCAAGTTTACTTATGCTTATATTTGATGTGTTTAACAAATCTAAAAAAAATTGACAGTTAAAAAATAAAATGCACAGAAAAATTTGAATTCAATGTCTTCTTTATTCACAAATGAAAAAATACAATTTGAAAGAATAATTTGAATTTGTTTTTGTTTTTCGATAATTCGATATAAACCTCCAATCGAAACGATTGAATAAATGGATTTTTCCATCGATGATCTTAAGGCTTGTGAATTAACAACATAATCTGTTTATTTATAACGACGATGGCGACACCACGAACGAAATGTCAATATCATCCAAACGAACAGATGTGTCAAACAGCCGAACAAGAACAATGAACGAACTCATAAGAAAAGAGTATTGAAATAAAAACATACTGATAAACACACGTTTTGAATTGAAAGCG